TTTGGTTTTGTTAACCCTTTCAATTGTTTTTCTATTCTCTATTTCATTTAATTCTGCTCTAATTCTTATTATTTCCTTTCTTCTGGTGCCTGAGGGCTTTTTTTGCTGCTCTCTTCCTACTTGTTCCAGTTTTAGGGTTAATGGTTTGATTATGGCCTTTTCTTCTTTTTGGATGTGTGCATTTATTGCTATAAACTGACCTCTGACCACTGCTTTTTCTGTGCCCCAAAGGTTCTGGTAGGATGTGTTTTCATTCTCGTTTGACTCTATGAATTTCTTTATTCCATCCTTAGTTTCTTCTATAACCCAGTAGTTTTTGAGCAAGGTGTTGTTCAGTTTCCATGTGTTTGATTTTTTTTCCTTGCTTTTTCTATTGTTGATTTCTACTTTTATGGCTTTATGATCAGAAAAGATGCTTTGTAATATTTTGTTGCTTTGGATTTTGTTAAGGCTTGCTTTATGGCCTAATATGTGGTCTATTCTGGAGAATGTTCCATGTGCATTGGAACAGAAAGTATACTTGACTGCTGTTGGGTGGAGTGTTTGGTATATGTCCATGAGATCAAGTTGGTTGATTGTAGCACTTAGCTCTTCCATGTCTTTGTTGAGCTTCTTTCTGGGTGTTCTGTCCTTCACTGAAAGTGGTGTGTTGAAGTCTCCTACTACTATCGTGGAGCTGTCTATCTCTCTTTTCAGTGCTGTTAGAATTTGTTTGTTTTGGAGCCCTGTCTTTGGGTATGTAAATATTTATTGTAGTTATATCCTCCTGGTGTATTGACCCTTTAATCATTATATAGTGTCCTTCCTTGTCCTTTGTGGTGTATTTTACTTTAAACTCTATTTTGTCAGAGATTAATATTGCCACTCCTGGTGTTTTTTGAGTGTTGTTTGCTTGATATATTTTTTTCCGTCCTTTGGGTTTTAGTTTGTTTGTGTCTTTAAGTCTAAGGTGTGTCTCTTGTAGGCAGCTATAGACAGATGGTGTTTTTTTTAATCCAATCTGCCACTCTCTGTCTCTTTATTGGTGTATTTAGTCCATTTACATTCAGCGTAATTATTGATAGATATGAGTTTAGTGCTGTCATTTTGATGTCTTTTTTTGTGTGCTGTTCACAGTTTCTTTGTTGCCCTTAATTTTCTGTGCTGAGT